AACTGATGCCACATTGCTTTCTTGAATGGTAAATAATCCAGGCCGCTACAATTCGTATATTGACCGCTAGGTAAAAATAATTTCGTGTTTTTTGCAGAAAAGTTCAAAACAGGAGGAACATTTTCTTTGGATATATCCCTAAAAACAATTTTTTTTTATTATTATTTTTTATTTTAAATTAAAGTGTCTCGGCAACTATGGGCCATTGACACTGGTACAAAGTCTATTACAATATGTTTATGTTTATATACAAGTTAGAATACATTAGCAGAGTAATTCCAACAATAATCGACACAAGTCGGTGGGGTCACCCTCTTCGATTTGGCTAAAATTTTACACACATGTTGCACTAGACAAAAAAACATGACTGTTAAATTTACAGACCTAAATACTCAAAATGGCGGCCGTGGCGCGCTATTGAAGTTTCACGCTTTTTATCAATTTTTTTTTGTGTTTCGCCGATTTTTTTATTAGAGCGAGTTAAATATGCTTGAAAAAATATACACTATATGTTTCCCAATGTAAAATTTCCCGCTGAACACGATTCCGGTGTCAAAATTGCTATATGACGTCATGTAAAGCCACAAAATGCGAAATAAAGGGCCTTTTTTGAACGCGCAAAAAAGCTTTACAGCGCGCAATTCTGCGTTTAATATTGTATGGCCCCCTATAAAACGGTAAAATCGGTGGTAAATAAATTCAAAACAGTCATTTTTTATGTAAAATTTTCCGTAGAATTCGAATTCCTTGTCATAACACCTCTAAAAGTTATTTGGAAGCTGAAAAACGAAGAAAAAGCGCTAAAATATTCGGGAAAATCGCGTTTTTTTCACTCTTATAGGGCGCAGCGGCTTCAAACATATAAAAAGAACTTCTGAGACAACTTTTATTCAAAAGTACTTACATTAAGGCGTCTTTTGTGAAAATTTGAACAAAATTAAAGAGGGTGTTTTTGAGATATGAATTTTTCAAAAAAAAAAGGGCTTTGTTTCACATTTTGTGGCTTTATATGACGTCATATGGCAATCCTGACACCAGGATCGTGTTCAGCGGAAAATTTTACATTGGAAAACATATAGTGAATGATGTTTTTTTGTCTAGTACAACATGTGTGTAAAATTTCAGCCAAATCGGAGAGGGTGACCCCTCCGACATGTGTCGATTATTGCTGGAATTACCCAGCAACATCTTAAAAAAATTACACTAAGTAGTAAAGGTGACAGTCTTTTAGGGAACGAGTTATGGCACTGTACAGGTTTGTACAGTGCCATCCAGTGTACAAAATTATAGTAGTCTCTTTGAGGTTTGTAATAGACACATTTTAATAATATGTGCTGGACTGTTAAGGCGATGAAGGTAACAGTTGGTTGAATTGTGCGTAGTTTTGTATTTTGCACGTTCCAGTGTGTTTGTCAAGTGCTTAGTACGTTGTTCTTGATAGTGGCCTTTAGGTCTTGGTGAAGTTGTATGTTTTCCATATTTTCTAAGGAGCAGGCCAGTTTTGCTGCATGATCAGTGTTTTCATTTTCATTGATACCAACATGGGATAGTATCTAGATGACATTTACTTAAACACCATTTTTTGACTGCTGTTGGCAGATACTGTGGATGCATTGTACATTGTACAATGGGATGTATGGAGTATATATTTCTGATTGAGTCAATTGCGGAGAGAGAATCGGTGCATATAGCCAACATTCGTAACGGATAGGCACATCAAGAAGAAAAAGGATATGTGTTTGCTGAGCTTCATTTCCCTTATAAGCCAATGTCCAAATGCAAACGCACTGGGTAGAATGTAGTTGAAAGCAGACAAGTATACGAATTTTTAATTTCTTTTTTAATCTGTGTATATTAATCTATTTTAATATATACTATCTTACCATTTTCTGGACACATCCCATGCAAAGCATAATATAGCATTTATACACATATCTCCAGGAACAGTATGGTTTCTTGTCTTAGAATTGGCTCTTATTACTCTTAGAAGGCCACAGTGCGACGAGAGTAATATACCAAGTGGGCCGTACAAGTTATCAGACCATCCTGGAAATGGCTCCCAAACGGTGGAAGTGACTAAAATATATTTAAATAGTATCATTAAAAACATAAAAATTTACCTGAAGTCAGATAACAACCAGTATAATTTTGTTGTAAGTTTTATAACCTCAAAAACATACCATGTTAATATAAGACTCTCTGTAGCTCCGTGGTAAGAGCGCCTACCTTTAAACCTAAACGTCGTGAGTTCGAATCTCACCTGGGTGGAGAAATTTTCGTTTATTAAAAATTAATGAATGAAAATAATTTCTATCCTTGTGCGATCGGTACTCACCGGAGGGACCGCAGACGTTCGGATACAATTAGCGTCTCTTAGCAAAGACAATGACGTCGACTTTGCTAAGTATCAAGACAATTACTCTACACACACACACACACACCACTAGGTACCTGACTGTAAAAATTCACTGTACCATGCCAATAACCATTAGTTGTCGACGCAATAACTCAATAAAAAAAATATACAGTGGCGCAAAAGTCTGGAAACGGCTAATTATCTCGTAAAATGCTAATCATAATTGTACAAAATTTGAGATACACCTATTTTGGGATACGGAGATTCTATATTTGATATTTACAATGTTGCCAGATTTGCCGTTTTTCTTATATTATTAGTAACTTTGGTTTTTCAAATACATCACCCTATGTATTCAGTCATTATTGAAATCTCCTATTCAATATGAGTTCAACCATATGTAACACTTATGATTTTATGTAATCTAGAAGGTCATAAATACATAAAACCGAAGTCTGGCAACGCCTAAATTGTTTCAATAAATTTTTTAATACTAACTATTTTCAAATACATTAAAACGGAACAATTGATAGTTTAGAACATTTTTTAACATAGTAGTTACGATATTAAGTGTTCAAAATGTGCTCAATTTGTGAGTTGACAGCACCCTAATCGATGCTAGAAGGCGTCTACCACATTTCTCCAGGATTGTCTAGAAATTATTCGAGATTCATTAATAATTCGTTGCCTTAGCTCTGCAACACTTGCTGGTTAAGTTTTGTAAACCGAATTTTTCAAGTATCCCTAATAAAAATAATCTTTAGGATTAAAATCGGGTGAACGTGGAGGCCATTCAATTCTATCTGTCTACCAATTTATCTTTCGGGAAATATCTCATCTAAATAACGCCGAACATTTACACCAACTATCTGACGTTAAATTTCTTTCGATAAAAAATGGCCCAATTAAATAAGTACCTACTATAACTGACCATAAATTTAATTTTTGTGGTCTTTGAGTCTAATACAGGAATACGTGCTTGGCGGGGAAGGGAGATAGATAGGACTGACTGGAGAGAATACTTGTACATCAGAAAAGATCTCATATTTGGCGACAGAACCATGATTCAGCAATGCTACGATGACAAATATCTATCGCATGATGTCAATATCTTAAACGATGGAATATTAGACAAAACCATAAAAGAAAAAAACTACAGGTAAAAAAGCCATTACAATATTTAACAATATTTTATGGGACCAATCCATCAGCAAAGAAAATAAAAAGAGGATATATGAGATTATAGTGAAAAGTAGTACTCTATACATCTGTGAGGCATGACCATACTGGTATAGCCATAGTGAGAAGTATTACTCAGTACAGCTGCGAGATATGGAAAGAAGTTAAATATACAAGATGGATGAACAACGAAAATTAAACAAATACAAATAAGCATAGAAGACGATCTATGGAAGTCGGAAAAAGGTGGAAAACATTACAAATTGACATGTAGTAGTAGTAATTCATACTTACCAATGGCAGGTCTAAACACTCCTACAGGCAAATATTTTCCCTTAGAAAGAACTATATTTTCAGCTATGGCTTTGGTATAAACATAAGTATTAGGCCATTTCCCTATTAGCCTGAAAGATTAAATAAATAAAGACTAAATACAACTTATCTGGCGCTTCAAACAAAAATTTATCAAACTCATCTTTAGTGAAAACTTTAGACTTCTTTGCAGTATATCCTTCGCTTGTTTTTTTCAGAAAGGCACGTAACTTTAAAAATTTGCTTATATCTACTCGGATTTTATCATAGAGTATCGTGACCACATTGTAGAAGATTTCCATTTATTTTCATTTGCATTATACTAAAATATGCCAGTAAAACGTCTTCAGTAACTTGCCGTACTCCTCAGCGTACAAGTGCTTGTACGCTAACCGATACTTTATTCCGGACTTAGAGGGCCCCAAACGTACTACTGCCGCGGACTCAATTTCGTTTAGGTTTTCCATTTTCGCACTAAATTTGCGCTTGCGGTTGCAAAAACAATAAGCTGTCTTAAATAATTGCAAACAACTGTCAAACAACTGTAACCAGGGAGACGCAAATCCCACCAACGACTGAATTATTTTAATTTGTAACATCTAGACAACTTTGATAGTTGTCACAGTTAATTTCGAGTAAAAATAGCGTATCAATTTTACTATTTATGGTTGAAAATTGCTACGTTTGAAGAAAAAATAGTATACTTTATTCAACAAAGAAGCGACTTTTCTTGACTTGTCCTCTATTACGCGTCAAGAAAAGTCATGTTTCTCCGCCTCATAAAGTAATATACTATTACCCAGGTAATTAACATATCCCGGACATATTAATTAGTCGACTCTTTCAGATTCACCCATTGTATTAGAAATTACCAGAAACTACATTGAATAAAACTTGTGTTACCAGAAATATTCGATATGCGATTTCTGTATTTCCCTTTGTGAGTATTAATATTGTTTCAAAAATATCCAAAACGCGATGTGAGAAAAAAATGAAATTCACAACCCGTTGTTTGTATAAATTTTGGTCAATGGCCAAATTCGGAGTACATAATATGTACTAAGCATAACTAAGAAAAACATCACAGAAAATCAGATCATCAAATAAATGAAGAATTATTTAGTAAATTCATAAAACAATTTTTTAGACTTACTTTCCACTAATACTATTAAACATCTCTGGATTCATGTCTTCGCTCATTTGTATAAGCAACTCCGGCTTAATTGGTGTTTCATAAAACTTCTCCTCGATGACTTTTTCGTAACAATTGGAAAATGCGGTCGATACCTGAACGAATGCCTGTATTTGTTCAGATTCATTTATAAGTTCTAATAGCTCCATAGTGCCTCGAACGTTCGTAATGACAGCATCTTGGAGTTTTAGGTCCATATTTAAAGTTGCTCCACAATGAAAAACTATGTTTATCTAGAAAATATTTAATATAGCTTACGATTGATGTATAAGTAGATTCTATAAATCTTTTTTGATGGAAAGAAATCTAACAATAATATTTTTTCAAACTAGTCTTCCTATGAATCCTAATATAACTCTTCTTATTTTATCAATAAATACATCTTATATATTCCCAATAGGTCTAAGACCGTTAAATTTTTTAAACTGTCTCAATAGCAAAAATTTTTATGGCAATTCTACTGCAAGATCTACGAAGTGTTAAAAATAGGAACTTGGTAGGTATATAAAAAGCAATTATGAAAAAGGTACCCTATAAACTCTTCTAGATTTTCATTCTTGAATTACTTTTATACAAATTTTAATGCTGAAAGAAATGAAGCAAATCTGAGTAGCATGTAGAAATATTAATACCACTGTAAAATATAAAAGCTCATGAGGTACGTAGATGGAAAGCACGTGAGGTAAAACACGTAAGATAAGCAATGTATTTCTTACAGAAGAAAGGCCGACCACGTTGCCGGTTTGCGGCTACCTACGGACGGATTTAAGAATCAGCATTGGAATATACGTGCACACAACAATTGCCTACGGTTGTATAAAAGACTATCATTATTGTTTCAACTAAAGCATGGTTCAATCATCGATGTATAAATAAAAGAATTACATTGTCAAACTAAACGATAATATAAAGGAAAGTAATATAAAAAAGTAAAATATATTAAAAACTCATTGTCGATAACTTGTCTAGTCTATATTTATTAATTTCCAATAGCTTTCATTTTAAACACATTCTTTGGGAAATAAAGATCATCATAAAGTCATTCGGAGAAGCGAATCAGTTTTAATCCCCATTGTCTAGCAAAGCAAACATGTCCCTTTGTCGATATGGGTACTGACCGTTAGACCAAAAAGTTGTTGACAAAAAGCTCAGTTCTATTTCATTTGTACAAGCGGATGAAAATATCTACATCATGGAGCCGTTGCCAGTATCTGTCATGCATTTCAAACAGTGTATGACTCTTAGTGTGAAAGTAAAACGTGTGCTGTTAAATGTATGACCTAAACTTAAAAAATTGTGACAGCTTGACTATTACTGTGGAGAAAGATTAAAAAATGTGCGGTGTGAGTGTTCGCAGAATTTATGACATCTGTAAAGAGGCCTAGCGAGCGAACTAAAACCGGTACAAAGAGGAAGAAAAACAGTTTTCAGTCCATTTTACGTGAGAATACTGACGATGAGAAAGTGAAATCTTGAAAAAGAAAAATTGTCCATCATTTGTTTTTTTTGGAAAAAGTATCATCAACCATCGACAGCATAATAAACAGAGTAAAAGATGATGATGACCTACCAACTTTTTCAAAAACCACGTTTTTTAGGCTACCAAATGACATGGGTTTTGAATGTGGTAAAAGAGGACGAGATTCGGTAATGATGGAAAGAACAGATATCATATCATGGAGACGCAAGTATCTTAGAAAAAAAAACATTGAGAAAGAAGAATAATGTAAACCTTGACTATACCGGAGTCTGGGACTAACGTCGGTACTTCAGACAAAAAGAAATGGGGGACACAACGATCCAGAATCCACGAGATGCCTTCTTGAAAGGCCTCTAAAGGGCTCTCAACTGGACTGAAAGCTCCAACCCCAAAAAGTCTTCGGTTTGTTCTTGTTCATGCTGGAAGCGAAACTGGTATTGTGGCATGGACTGAATTAACTTTCTTGGTCAAGAAAGGAAGCGCTGATTACCACGGCGAAATGGACGGGGATCTATATGAACAATGTTTAATGAGGCGTTACTTCTAAACTTGCCGAAAGACAAAAAACGTTGAATAAAAGGTAAATTAAGGATTGGCTAATCGAAAAGAACATTTCCTTTGAGGAAGATTAAATAGAGACTAAAAAGTGAATTACTCAAGTGTGGAACCAAGTGAAAAAGTATGTGACTTTAAACAACGTTGATTTTAAAGAAAATAAACGATATAATTGTTGAAAAAGATACTAACCAACGCGTACCTAAGGATTTGGATTACGATTAGTATTAATTAACGAGAAATATCTCAGATTTAATGCTTATTTATTTCTTTAGTACTGTACGTAGAGTATATTTCAGTTATGATCTTTCATCATCTTCTTATGATGAGCAGCATCGCTAGCGGCGTAAGACTAACACTGCATTCTAACTGTGGCTTATAGAATAAAAACTATATTTTTTTGCAATTTGATTTCTATGTATGTCTATTACATATATAGTCTATTAAATAAACATATTGCAATATTTCATGTTAATTGTAATAGAAAACGTGAGTGAATTTTGTACGATTGCTCGCAAACCAAAAAAATATATAGAAAATTAGTAAATATATCGCACTGTAGAATAAAACTAGGGGAATTCTGTATCTCTGACTCTATCTCTGAATGACGCTACAGCTCAAGTCTTAGCTACAGCCAAGCATCCCTTTCCTTGGTTGCTATTCTTCACTTTTCCACCCTCAATATTTCTTTAGCATCGGTTCTTACATCGTCTATCTACCTCTTCCTTGGTCTTTCTACTAGTCTATGTCCCATAGTTCCACTAAGCGTTCTAGTAGGTAATCTGGTATTATCCATTAATACAAGGTGACTTGCCAAAGGCAAGCTTTGTAGTTTTGCATTTTATTTCTTAGCGTGTAAATAATTACTTACTTTATTTTTAATAAGAGTTCTATTTTCTTCACTAAGTCCCAACTGTTTCTTCGTCAAATTTCCATCGAGAACGTGTATTTTTTGAAAGTTCCTGGAATTAGCATGCCTAACTTTGGCTAGTACCTGAAAAAGCAAAAAATACAAATTTTTATAAAGAATTGTGAAAATCAATGTAATAAAAAAGGACTGTAAAATTGATTGATGACATTAATGAACATAAAAAAGTTTTTACTCTAGAGCTAGAGCTCAGACCTTAGTCTTGAGCTCAGAATTCGAATAAATATATGTTAGGTTTTCACTGTTATAAATATATGTTGCTGTATAGCTGTGAAAGTTGCACAATGGACTCTGAAACAGAAAAAAGAATAGATGCCTTTGAAATGTATATCATCGTCATCATGCAACTTCTTCTGTCTACTGCTGGACATAGGTCTTTCCCATTTTTCGCCACTCTTCACGGTTCTGTGCTTCTTGTTGCCATATCTTGGATATTCGTCTAATGTCGTCCATCCAGCGTGTTGGTGCTCGTCCTCTGCTGCGTTTGTCTTCTCGTGGGCGCCAGTCAATTAGTTTTCTGGTCCATCTTGTGTCTTTCAGTCTCGCTATGTGACCTGCCCAATTCCATTTCAGCTTGGCTGTATAGTAGACGACATCACTGATACCTGTTCTTTTCCTTATTTTGTCTTTTTTTTGTCACGCTGAGAATTGATCTTTCCATGCGCCTTTGTGCCACTCGCATTTTTAGTGCTGTTGTTTTTGTGAGCGTGAGAGTTTCTGCTCCGTATGTCATAATATTAAGCACGCATTGGTCAAATGCCTTCCGTTTCAAAGCCATCGGGATGTTGCTCTTATTAAACCATACGCAGCCTAAGCAAGTATTATTCGTCATTGAAATTCGCAGGTCTGGTCGTCTTTGCCTATACTGACTTCATGACCAAGATATATGTACTTTTTTGTCAATTCTAACATTTGATTTTTGATGATTAGGTGTTCGCTGGGAACTAAATTTGTCATAAATTTGGTCTTACTGATGTTCATTTTTAGACCTATTATTAAAGATGCGTTTTCTAGTTCTTGTAGCATTTGTTGTGCTTCACTCAAATCTTTGGTAATAAGTACTATGTCGTCGGCAAAACGCAGATGATTGAGCATTTCTCCATCTATTTTTATTCCTTTATTTTTCCACTTTGATGTATCCATCATGAGGGGAAATTTGGTCTTGAAACGCCGCGCTGGTCAAGCGTGTTGGCGAGTTTTAGAGTTGTAGTAGAAGGAAATATAGTGACCCATCTGCCTTCGGAAACCTAATAGCCATTCGTGGTCGGAAGAAACAAGAGTTAGCCAAGAGAGGCTGATAGGAAAGATTAAAGACATTTCACTCAAGACAAGTTGAAAAAGAGTAAAATGTGAAGGCCCTTATGATCCGCTAGGTGCGTTTCATAAGCGTATGAGTATTAATTCACTTTGTGTTCCCGCTCATAACTCGGGTTGTTGACTACAGACTGTATGGCTCGTCCAGCTTGCCATAGCATGAAGAATAGGGTGCACGCCATTTTTACAAAGGTAACACCCTACTTCACGGCCTGACATATTGGCAAGGATTGGCTTGGACGCAAGAGGCACAAGATCGGAATAGATGGAAAATTATGAGGGAGATCTATGTCCAGCAGTGGATAAGCGAAGATTGACTGATGATGATGATGATTTTTCCACTTTAGCATTTTAACTGCGTATAAAGGACCGTTATAAATAATTTAGCTGAAAGAGTGTCGTTTTGTCTCACACCTCGCTTGATATGAATTTCTCTGGTGGTATCATGTAGTTTTACATGCATTGTGGCGTTTTGGTATACTGTTTGTACTAACTTTGTAAGCCGGTAATTTATTCTACGATTGTTCAGAGCAGTTATAATGCTGTCTAATTCCACAGTGTCGAAGGCTTTGTGAAAGTCTACGAAGATAAGTACCAGTGGTCTGTTATATTATAGCGACTTTTCTTTTAAGATTTTTGCTGTTTGTTGATGATCATTTGTTTCGAATTTTGATCGGAAGCCAGCTTGTTTTCGGGACTCGTAGAAATCTAACGTTTTCTCTAGTCTTGTCGTAATAATTCGGGTAAACATTTTATAAATGTGGTTCAATAAGCTAATTGGTCTATAGTTTTCTAGGTGCGCCATTTCTCCTTTCTTGTGTATTAAAATTGTTACTGCATTGTTTCATGTTTTTGGTATACAACAATCTTTTAGACAAAGGTTAAGCAACATTTTTATTTGGTTGAGAAGGGTACGTCCGCCCATATTTATAGCTTCTATTACGATTCAATCTTCT